TCATCGATTCAGAAATTTGATGATGAGAGTGTGCCAGAACCAGCAATGTGATTCGAAAGGGTGTAGTCAACCTTATTCTCTTTGAGAAAATTGACTATCAGACGATCGGAGGAAAGAGAGAACATAAGACTCCTCTGTGAGTTCAATTTGCCTTAGTAAAAAGACTTTAACAATGAATGAATTGTAACGATTGTGAGAATAGAATAAGAAAGGAAAGAGAGATAAAGATATAGAAGAGAAAAAGAAAGAAGGAGAGAGAGAAGATTAAGGGAAAGAAATCGAGAGCTTGAGAAAGCATAATTATATTAAAATAAAGATTCTGAGGGTGCTGGACCCTTATAAAGAACATTTCTATAATTATTTATAGAAGAACGCAATCCAACAACTCTTATACTTAAGCACTTTACTTACATCATAACTATATAGGATAATCATCTACATATCCAATTTAAACCATCTCAAAGAAAACCATTGGCATTATAATCCTTATCTAACAACTAAGTTAAATATCTTTATTCATACCACCTTTGCATGTAGTTCCACGTGTCAATTATCATCCAAGTCATTGCCTAACCATTTTACCAAAATGGGTACCAACAATGCCCCCCAATTTTGGTAGCCGTTGAGATAGGTTTCCAAAATTTAAATTACACCCATTAGAACTAAACGAAACACACACCGTAGAGCCACACAAATGAATATCATCATTACTCCAGTTTCCAAAAAATACTGATTACCTAGCCCCTATCTAATCAACCATTAATACTTCATCAACCCTTTTATCTTCCGATACACGCCTCAATTCCTATTATACACAAAACTCTTCATTTCATACAACCATCATCCTTGTCAAAGCTCATTTCCTCCATAGAGTGAATCTCTATCTTCTTTAAACATGTCCTAAAAAACTTAGAAGCAGCACGCAAATCTGAATTTAGAAACCCCCTTCCCAAAATCGGTATCACACACGCAAATGACAAAATCTGCGATCAAAACCCTACAGGCTCCTGAAATCGAAACCACAACCTTAATCGATATTACAGATATTGCTAAGGGACTTGGCCCAGCGTTTATCAATCGATTTCCTTTGTTATTATCCTCTTTTTACCCTCAAGCGGAAAAGCACCTTTTATTTTCAAAAACTATATACCTTATTACTGAAGGGGAAAGACCATCCCTTTCAATTAGGAATTGGCATCCTCTGATGCCTCAATGGAGTGATTGGGTGGATCGAGTAGCAGCAGCAAAAGGCGACTTATGGAAGCATATGGGATTTTCGACATCATCCAACTCAGTAAGATTCCCTTTACTCTGGGTAGACCCTTATTTTTTTCATCTCTACACTTTTGGTCACCCACTATGAACTTATTACATTTGTACTGTGGTATGATGGCCCTTACACTTCGGGACATCTGCTTTTTAACAGGCTTAAAACCTGGTGGAGACATTAATTATCTCCTCCAAGATTCGGAGATGTCCTTTTATTTTCCGGAACAAGAAGGTCCTAAACATCACATTTAATCTCACGGCCTATTTTTAAAAGAAATGATCGGTAAAGTTGGTACTAAAGTGAATGACCAAGAGCATATAGAGTTCTTGTTACTGTGGTTATGTAGGCATTTGCTGTGTGCTCCCGCTATTCAAATCACAAAGGACCTCACCCAATTAGCCATAGTTATTTCCAAGGGTAAACCCAAGGCTCTAGCTCTATATCTCTTAGCGTCTCTAAACAGGGGTTTTTCAGATCTCATTATGTCAAAATTTTCTCGATTTGGAAGACCATTGGCTCTATCAATTATGGTTGCATGCGTATTTCCCTGAATTATCTCCTAAGATACAACTTACTGCGGATGACCCTTTAGTATCATTTGGTTACACACGAAGCCCAAGAACCATTCCTTTCCTAATTGTTTTCGTTTTTTTATCACCAATGTAACATTAGGACCCGTTCTCAATTCCTTCCCTTTGCAAAGTGTCGGCTAGCTCCCTCTTGGCTGTTTCCTCTTACTGCTAATTCCTTGGCAGAGCAATAGAATCTTATAAAACTTCACGGGGCCATTTTCTGATTGCAAGGGATATCTCTTGCAACACCGTTGCTCCCAATATCGCAAAAAGTCAGATAGGGGTAGAATTTTACAACCCCTCTCAATTGCCCAGACAATTTGGGTTAACTCAATTGATTCCAGTACCTCCCTATTTTTCATATAACAAAAATTATCATCGACGAGTAAAACTGACAGAAAATGATCAAATTATAGATGTAGCCAACAGATTCAATCAACTCCTCCAAGATTTCCAATACAAGGCTTTTCATGAAGAACCATACACTGACCCAAGCTTTGAAGGTTGGTGGTCAACATACATCAACTCCACCAGGACAAAGGATTCCACACAACTTGTGCTCACCCTCCTTGGCTTGTACAAATTCATTTCCCTCAAAATTTAATAAAACAATGACCCTATCATGTATTTAAAATTAGTTCCATAATAATATTATAGTCCAATAAATCGCTAAATTAATTTAAGCATTCTAGTTCCCTCCATCCGGTAACAGAGTACTAAGTCATATACTTATATTTTGTTGTATCCTTTAGCATAGAGCCCCCACTGTGCCACAAGTCCAATATATTACTTTAAAAGACTTCACCGTGCATCTAAAATAAATTTAAAATCATTTTATAGCACCCTAAACCGTCAGATTAAAATTAATCAACAAATCTCCTTTCAGCCGTTAACTGTACGCAAAGTTGTCAAATAGCATACTGTTAATTCTATTTAAAACTGAGGGGTAAATTTATGCAATTTAAGACCTAAGTTACATGTTAAAATTATTATTTAAACACCCAATTAAATTTTTAAAACTGATTAATAACCCAGAATGCCCAAACAGTGACTGAAAGTCACTTTTACACACAAAACAAAGAAAGAGCCTGCTCTAGAAAAGTAGAGCAGGCTCAAGGTGACATAAAGCCAGCTTTAATAGGTGGGAGCCGGCTCTTGGCATTCCAGAGCCGGCTCTCTCTCCCCCTGTGAGCTTCCTCTCCGTTTCAGCTTTATTCTGACCTCTGTTCCAACTCCGGCTTTCAAGGGAGAGATCCAATTCCACCTATTCCTTTCACATCATCTCCTGCACCAAAGAACATATCACTCAAACCACCAAATCATCCACCTCCTACAGCTCCTGCAGGTAGGACCAGATCTCGCTCTCGGCAAAGTAAGTGTTATTTTTTTTTTTGTTTTTTGGCATACTTCCATTTTATATAGGCTTCTTTTTAACTTTAATTGCAGGTGTGTAATCCACTGTATTAGGAATGACAACCCAAACCAATTCAAAAGAAACACAACTGGACCCTTACATCCCCATTCAGAGTATACCCCCAGTGTCTGCTACACAAGTAAGTCTCACAACATTGCTCGTATCTCATTTTTATCCTTCACTTTCTAACAACTCCTCAGCAAGTAAAAAAGAAGAGAAAGAACATTAAGATTGTTGGAAAAGGATCTGGGAAAAAATAAAAAGCCAATAAGAACTTTGTTTTAATCGATGATGACGAAGTAGATGAAGATGAGATAGTCTCCAAGAAAGTTCAAGCCTCCACTAATGTCCACTTTGTTACGCTCATATTAACTTGAACTTTAGCATCTCTTGATATTATATTCTACCTAAACCAAAAATAATTAACCAGGAAACTCCACAACAGTTAGAATAGAAATCAAGTCAAGAAATTGCTATGGGAAACTCTGAAGAAGAGAAAGCCAAATTTTCTGCAGGGCGTGACAACTTATCCCCTAAAAGGGTGATTTCTCCAGCCTCATCCCAACACTTGGCAACAGCGACTTCCATTGCCGAACAAGTTGGGGACTCTGATGAAGTAAGTTGTACATCTTACCACATATTAATTGGTTGTTGTCTTTATCTATTGAATTTAAACCAATCTGTTATATTTTAGGTACCTAAGGACTCTACTCCTCTTGTTGCTCTTAAAAGTACCAACCCTGACTCACCCTTTACCACCTTGGATTCTTTATTTGATTCTGTGTTTGACTTGTTAGACATGGAGACTCCCTTGTCAGCCAATTTAACTAAAAACCCCACTTAAATCCCTCTTGATGTGATTCAAGCAATTAAATTATTGTCTCAAATGTTGTAACAAGACTTTTCTTTGATCCCTTCCTTCCAAAGTGATCTAGCTGAGACACTTTCTTTTTTAAGCACTTATCCAGGATTTTCCCTAATTGAACGAACATTTTTCAAAAGCTTCTAACTCCAAGCTCCTTCCATGATTACCATCATTTCTCAATCTACCCAAGTCATCAACCATTGCTCTACACAATGTCAAGAAAAAGAAAGACTGGGCTGAACCTTAAAGATAGGAAAAGAACTGCACTTATTGTTAAAGAAAGAGTTAGCCGAGCTAGAGACCAGAGAAAAGAAACTTCAAGCTGAGTTTTGCTCAACTATAATTGGATAAGACTCAACTTAGCAATAGAGTAGTGAAGTTGAGGACACAGATAGAAGCCGCTACTCTAAAGTTTAAAGAATTGCATGCTCAGATGCCACAATTGGAACAATCCAGAAAACAAGCTGAGAAAGGACTTGGCAAACTTCAAGGCCAAGTTTGAAAAAATTCACAAGAAATTTAGCCATTAAAGTTTCCTATTAGCTCGTAATTTTAGGTCTGTAATATGCTACTTGATATTTTGGGACAGAGGTAATTTTAACTTTCTGGTGGTTTTATTAACTAGATAAATTCAAATTACATATTTGCATACAGCTCTTATGAAACAAAATGAACCTCCTAAAGCTTAACACACACCTTCTGGATTTGGCTGAATGGAGGCTTTCTTTTCCTCCATAAGTTTAAAGATAATCGGTTGGTATTTTTAAGATACCTCCCATTTATTGGCCTTTTATGTATCTCACCATCTAAATCCTTCAATCGATAAACACCTCCATGCAATACTTGGTGAACCAAGTATAGTCCTTTCCAAGCTGGGGACTATTTACCATAAATCCTGTCAACCTTCCCAGGTGGAAGTACTATTTGCCATACCATATCGTCTTTTGCAAATGACTTGAACTTTACTCTTTTATTATAAGCTTTCATTACCTTTGCTTTATGGACCATAAGGTGGTCTAAAACAAGCTTATGTATTTCATCCAAGTCTTCCAACTCGGCAAGTGTAGCCTCATTATAATCGGTAGGTATCAAGTTGTGTTGCAAAGCCACCCTTGCCAATTTCACATTTAATTCCATCAGCAAGACTGCATCATGTCCAAAAGTTAGCCGATAAGGAGTAGTTGCTGTACTAGTTCTCTTTGAGTTTCTATAAGCCCACAAAGCTTCTGACAAAGCGTCATGCCATCTCCTTGGCTTGTCTTTAATAATATTTTCAATAATCTCAATTACTATTTTATTTGAAACTTCAGCTTGACCATTCCCTTGAGCGTAATAAGGAGTTGAGGTTAACATCTTTACCTACATATTGCGGTCGAGTCGTAATACGTTATTTCCTCTAAATACAGATCCATTATCAGCAACAATTGTTTTCGACAAACCAAATATGTGAAAGATGTGTCGTTTTAGAAACTGAATTATGATGTTTTGAGTTACTGACACATATTCTTTGGCTCCACCCATTTGGTAAAATAATCGGTAGCCAAGATAATCCAATGATGCCCTTTTGATGAGTGAGGATTAATTTTGCCGATTAAATCCATAGCCCAACCTCTAAAAGGCCAAGGCTTTATCAATAATTGCATTTCTATTGCCGGAACCCACTGCATTGGACCATGTTTATGAAAATTTGTGCACCCTTTTGCATAGGTCATATAGTCTTTTCTCATTTCAGGCCAATAATATCCATATCGGCGGATTAGCCACCTCATTTTTATTCCTGCTTGATGTGCCCCACGCATACCTTCATGCACCTCTGCCATAATCTTCAGTCCTTCAAACTTCCTGATACATTACAGTAATAAACCATCATCTGCTGATCTCTTGTAAAGATCTCCGTCCATAAGTACATAATCGACTGCAATTCTTTTTAATCTTCGATCAATAGATCCAGTTGGATTCTTTAGGAATAAAATATAAGAGATCCGCCAATCATCAACATCTAACTCAGCCACATTAGTGGCAAAAACTTCTGCCATGACTTGGTTTCTTGCTTCAACCGATGGAAGAAATTAACGTGTGATTTTCATTACTCTTTCTTTCATTCCTTTTGGAACTTTGACTCCAGACGCTGTTTAAGCTAAGTCATTAGCTATTTTGTTCATGGCCCTTGGTCGATACTCCAAGGTGACACTATTGAATTGGTTGATCAATTGAGTAGCCAATGAATGAAATGGCCTTAATTGCTAATTTAAACATCTGAATCCCTTACAATGTGAACATCTTTGACTGTCATTTTAAGTAAAATTTCTAAGCTAATAATTAATGCTTCGTATTTGGCTTGATTGTTCGAACACCTGAAATCTAAAAAGAAAGAAAAAGAAATTTGGTTTCCCACGGGTGATATTATTGCTATTCCAGCTCCCGAGCCTTCCCTGGTACTGGACCCATCAAACATTAAAGTCCAAGGAGTCATAAACATAGCTACCAAGTCAAGCTCATCAAATACTTGTGGTTCAATCTTTATCGATGGATGATCAGCCAGGAAATTTGCAAGTGCTCTTTCTTTAATTGCTTTCTGCGGAACATAAGCAAAATTAAATTCCATCAAAGCCAATGCCCACTTGCCGATTCGGCCAGTGATCAATAGCCTTGATAGCATATATTTTAAAAAACCTGTTTGACAAATAATATAAACCAAAACAGGCAACATATATACTCTTAATTTCATAGCTGAAAAATACAAAGCCAAGTATAATTTTTTAATCGGCGTATATCTATGCTCGACTGAAGTTAGGACTCGACTGAGATAATATATTACTTGTTCATTGCCTACTTCATTTTCTTGTGCCAACATACTACCTATGGATTCTTTTGCGGCCGATAAGTACAACTTTATTGGCCACTTCTACCTTTGTGGCATGATTACAGGAGGACTTGACAAATATTCTTTTATTTTTTTAAATGCCTTCTGGTGGATTTCTTCCCATTTGAACTCTTCTTCTGGCTTTAGTTTGAGTAAAGAGAGAAAACATGTAATTTACCAACTACGTTGGTAATGAATCATCTAAGGTAACCCACTTGACCAAGTAATCTCTACAACTATTTCTTGTTCCTTGGCGCCCTAACATCAATAATAGCCTTGGCTTTGTTATTATTAATCTCAATGCCCCTTTGGTGTACCGGGAAACCAAGAAAATTTCTTACTGATATGCCAAAAACACACTTGATAGGATTCATTTTTAACTTATGAGCCCTCATTCTCTCGAAAGACGCGTTAAGATATACTAAGTGTTGTGTCTTTGCTGAAGTTTTCACAACCACATCATCAATGTATACTTCCATGAATTTGTCGAGCATGTCATGAAAAATAGAATTCATGGTTCGCTGATATGTAGTACCTGCTTTCTTCAGCCCAGAAGGCATTACCACCCACTCAAAAGTTCCAATCGATCCTGGACATCTTAAAGCTGTCTTTTGGATATCCTCTTCAGCAATATAAATCTGATTATAACCTGGGTGTCCATCCATAAAATACATAATTTCATACTTGGCAGCCGTGTCAATCAGTTGATCGGCTATTGGCATAGGATACTCATCTTTTGGAGTAGCCGTGTTTAAATTTTGAAAATCGACACATATACATAACTTTCTATTCTTCTTAATAGTAGTAACTACATTTGATAACCATTGAACATACCTTGTAGTTCAAACAAAACCAGCACCTAATAATCTTTTAATTTCTGCCATGACTTTTGTTACCCAAGAATTGACTCTAGAAGGGGGGGGGGGGGGAGGGGGTGAATAGAGTCTATGGCCAATTTTCGCAATTTATCGATTTACAATTTCTAATCAACAATCTAACCAATTATGCAATAATCAAAATATGAAAATAAACAATTTATAGCATAATTGTAAAAGAGATAAGGCAAAAGAAATTGCAAACAATGACTCGGCGATTTAAGCGAGGTTCAGAAACTCCTATTCTCGGTTCAAGACCCCTCTTGAGACTTCCCAATCCACTATGGCTTCTCCTTATGGGTGGATAACAAACCTTTACATGAAGCAACTCCTTGCTAAGAGAATAGCCTTCCCTTAATCTTCCTTTGGGTCACACCAACGGTGGGTCAAACCAACCCTTACAATAGATAGTAACAAGAACAATGAAGTACAAGAAATCTCTCAAAGATAGATGTACAAATTTTAGCTCATAACTAGAGTATTGATGAATATAAATGAAGCTCAAACTCTGTGAATGATATGAATGAGAGAATTCTAATGAACTCAATAAGATCCCTCAAGTATAGAATAGAGAAAAAGCTCTATGAAGATTCAAATTAGAGAAAAGCCCTTTGAATCCCTAGTTAAATCTCTTAAGGTTTGTATATGAGTAAATAAGAGAGATGAAGAGAAGATGTGAGAACAAAAGCTCTCTAGTGCAATATGATGTCTCTCAAAATGGTGTGTCTTTATTTCTCAAAGTTTAGCCCATATTTATAGTGAAAGAAGGTTAATATAGTTGGTAGAGGTGAGGTATGCAATGACATCTGCAGAGAGGTGAAAGAAGGTTAATATAGTTAGTATAGGTGAGGTATGTAATGACATCTGTAGAGAGGTGAGGTATGCAATGACATCTGCAGAGGCATGAGGTATGCAATGACATCTGCAGAGAGGTGAGGTATGCAATGATATAGGGTATTCTACTTGGGTATTGTTCACATATGGCACTATTCATGTATAGTACTATTCAATGGTACTATTCACGTACAATACTGTTGTTGTCTAGAAAATGAAAAATATTTAGTTGTATAGTAATATTCATATGGTACTGTTCACGTATACTACTATTCACTTATAGTACTGTTGTTGTTTAGAAAATGAAAACTGTTCAGTGGTCTGCTACTGGCTTCTGCACAGGACTATTTCACACAGCTTATTTACATTCCATTGAAAACATTTAAGTAAATATCTTTACTATTTTTATATGTCCATTTACTTTAAGTTTACAATGTAAATAAGGAAGTATCCCCTATTTAGATTCAATAAAAAATATAAGAAAATTGAAATCTAACTAAATCAAAATGTAGAAATTCAGTTTTAGTACAAATTATGGTTCCCGACAGCTTTGGTAAAACTTGATCCTCCGTGTAGAGTAATGTAGAATTGATGAAAAAATCCCATAAAATCAGTTTAGGCTATTTGAAGTGTAAGAAGTTATTAACGGGAAAAATTATTTTGAAATAATCATTATTTCAAAACTCTATTTTTCACACTTAGCCATTTTTCAAACTTAGTCAAAAATACAGTTTTTCATGAGGTGTATTCCAGGGTCCTAAAGTCCGTTACCAAGTCATGGTGATGAAGGCTTTTATAAATGAGCAATATAAGTTCTAAGCCTTAACCTTTACTCTCTAGAGACCAAAGTGAATCATGTAATTGATGTGCATCATCCTAGCATTCTAGCACAAGTGTTGAGTTCTTTCAAATCTTAAGCAAGCTTAAAGTAAATCATTCTTTAACAAAGACTCCATATGTCAATTATATATGAATGAAGTGTATAGTCTATTGCTAATGGATATAGGAATATATGAATGATGAATGATATGCATGGTCCTATAAAGTTGAGCTTCAAATGGATTTATAAATACCTTGACAATGAATCCTAAACATTCACCAACCTATCTACCCCTTTCTTCATGTTTTGTCCATGATCGTGTAGGCTTTGAGGTAGTCTTGCTTTTTTCCTTTCTTAGAGTTGCTTTCTTGCTCGTTGTAGTCCATGCTATATTTCCTTGCAACTTTGAGTCTTTTTTGTATCCATTTCTTTCCTTGATGTGATCTTAAGTAATGGAATACTTGGAATAATATTTATGATTTTCATTGAGGTTCTTCTTTGAATGTAAATCATCTATAACACTCAATGTGAACATTAGTCCTTAAACGCCATTAATGGTTTGTTATCATCAAAACACATAGATTGTCCTTGGATGGAATCCCTATGGTCAACAACTTTATCTACCACTTCTTGAGACATTCGGCGAGGCAGTTCTTTGTATGGTTTGAACCATCTTTAATAGGTAACCGATGTTCCACTAGGTCTCTGGATAGACCTGGCATCTTGTATACCCCTAATTTTAAAAAAATAGTCTCGGCATTTTAATTTTGGTTTTATTGCATTTTTGTTTGATTAATTGCTTATTTGCTTAATTGTTTACTGGTTTTATTATTTGTTTGATTTAATTGTATAATGGTGTATTTAATTACATTATTTGGTTAACTGGTTGTTTAATTGAATTACTTGATTAATTATATTTTTATTTTCTTTTATTGTGTTAATTGTATTTTTATTTTTCTTTATTGGAATTACTTGTTTTAATTGGTTGAACGGTTTATTAGTTTAGTTAATTGTATTAAATTAGTGTATTAGTCATAATAGTAAAGTAGGTTTTTGTTTTTTTTTTTAGAAATCAGGTATTAGCTGGCTAGGATTTAATTAGGTTTTCAATCTAGGGTTTTAATTGGACTTAGGTTTTGTAATTACCTATAAATATATACGTCATACGTCTGCCTAGGGTTTTAGAACCCTATTCACGGCACAGTGAAGGCAGAGCGACATAGCAGAGACTTGTGAGTAAATAGAGCAACTCTGGTGAGGGTTTCAGCTGTGGATTAAAGGTCAGACCTAGGAGAAGGGAAAGTTGAGCAGTAAGATGTTGACAGTAAGTGAATGTCGTCGAAAAACTTAGGAAGACGGTGACAATGTTTTGATTCCAAAACCACACAGGCAAGTTCTATTCTGTCTCTCTCCCCTTGGCCTGTGTTCTGTGCATACCTAGATGATCTCTAGGATTTTAATTGGATATTAACCGAGTCCTGCACGCTTTGTACGTGTTAAATTAGTAGTTTGTATGTATTTAATTTAATCTGGGATTGTTCTTGTAAGTTTGGACGTCAAGGTCTATGTTAAAAGCATAATGAATCGGTAGGGGTTTTAATCATTGCTATTAATTCCAACTATTGTAAACAAATGATTGGGAGGCTTTTGGGTGTAAATTAAACTCTTAGGTTCAGTATTAAAGAGGAATAGAAGAGTTAGAATTGGCTGGAGACGAAGGAGAAGGCCGAAGAATGGTTCAGAGCTCTCAAAGAGGGAGAGAGCCGGCTCCAGGTAAGTGGGAGCTGGCTTCCTCTTGTGCAGAGCCAGCTCTAGGTGATTGGGAGCCGGCTTCCCTCTTCATAGAGCCAGCTCCAGGTGTGGTTCCTTTTCTTTTGTGTCTTCCCTTGGGGAGTTTTGCCACGGTTGTTGACGGGTTGTGGTGCTCAGAGTGAGTGGATTAGTGCAATATTATTTTATGGGGACTTGTGTCCATATCATTAAGGATTTGTTTGATTCGTGAGGTGAGCTCGATGCTCTTTTGAGAGCGTCTTTTTGGAGACTTGCTTTAGTTTTGGAGACCTTGATGTGGTTGACTCTTAGGAAGAGTTTTGAAGGATTGTTGTTGGATACAGCTTGTTTATGGAGTTTTCTCATCCTAGTATGACTAGGCGTGGTTTTGAGGAATTCTTATTCCAGTGATTGTTTATGGATCGATGGAAATTGAGGAAATTTTGATTTAGATTGGTGATGTCAAGCATGGTTTTGAGAGATCTGTTTTGTGACCTTAGTTGTCAAAGTTTTGATGTATGTGCCACTTAGTGGACTTGTATTTCGAGGATTTAGTTATCCATGATAGGGATATGGATCCGATGTTTGATTACGGTGTAATCTTATTGTTGATCTGTTTCAGGGGGATATGTAGGACTTTTGATGACATGCCTTGTAGTGAGTTTCGTTGTGGGAGAATAGGGTTTCTCATCTTTTCTTGGTTCGAGTAAGGGACTTCACAAGGAGTGAGTCTCTTCTCTTCGTTGCGTTGTGCACAGCCTTGGGGTTGGTTGGTCCGTGGGGATCACCATTGTTGTCTTGAGTCCTTGGTGAGGATTTAGTTGATTTTGGTCGACTTACTTCCACGTAGGGGGTGAAGTCTTTGACCTTGTTGCCTTTCCTTTAGAGATAGAGTCGTGGTGTTGTCTTTCTTAGGACTGGTGGTTGCTTTTCTTTCGTGTCTTCCCTTGGGGAGTTTTGCCGCAGTTGTTGACGGGTTGTGCTGCTCAGAGTGAGTGGATTGGTGCAAGATCATTTTACGGGGACTTGTGTCCATATCATTAAGGATTTGTTTGATTCGTGAGGTGAGCTCGATGCTCTTTTGAGAACGTTTTTTTGGAGACTTGCTTTAGTTTTGGAGACCTTGATGTGGTTGACTCTTAGGAAAAGTTTTGAAGGATCGTTGTTGGATACGGCTTGTTTATGGAGTTTTCTCGTCCTACTATGACTAGGCGTGGTTTTGAGGAATTGTTGTTCCAGTGATTGTTTATGGATCGATGGAAATTGAGGAAATTTTGATTTAGATTGGTGATGTCAAGCACGGTTTTGAGAGATCTGTTTTGTGACCTTGGTTATCAAGGTTTTGATGTATGTGCCACTCAGTAGACTTGTATTTCGAGGATTTAGTTATCCATGATAAGGATATGGATCCGATGTTTCATTA